TTTTTCTCTCTACAGAAATACATACAGAAATTTTGAATAATTTTCTTGATCCGCAGATATTGGGATATGGATGGGCAGGGATGTTGAGAAAATATTTGGTTGATCCTGTACAGATGTGGTGGCCTTCTAATCTTGCTCAAGTTTCTTTATTTAGGTTTGTCTTTCTTGCATAGGAATTTTTACTATTGTCTTTTCCTCCATCAATTTCCATTGTTTTTCAGTTGTTCTGGGTAGAATCATTGGAATGAATCATCATCGAACATTATTAGAAACAATAATTAGAAAAATCAGAATCATGAAAGACATCGTATGTTTGGGATGAAGAATTGTATATCAAAAGACAGTATTCAAACAGAGAAAGAATTTAAGACTTTTTTTTTTATTATTTCTTTCAAGTACTATGTACTAAGCCACCGTTTGGTATTGATTAAAATCAGATTTCTCAGTAGATTTTTTAATCAGATTTTTCAGGTTGTGGGACTTAAAATTTTGATCAAATTTTTTAACGGTAACAAACAGGGCTAAATATTTAACATTTATAAGCCGCAGTCCTTTTTCATTCGAAGTTCCTCATATTGGCCGTAAGCCTCGATTGCAGGTTCAAAAATTTTGGTTTGAAAATGGTGTCTTGTATGCATTGGATGTCTTAACGGTAAGAATCTTTACATCTGGGAAGAATAAAAGAACATTTTAAAAGTGCAAAAAAAAGTATATAGCTTTATGTGGGGGGGAGTGGGTGAATCTTGTGAAAATGTTTTACGCGTTGTATGTGAACCAGTTAATAAGAATATATATACTGTATACAGTCTTGATCTGCGATGTAATTATTTCCCTTGAGACCATTTGTGAAATATATAATTCATAAGGAGAAAGTAAATGAGTGGAAGACATAAAGTTCCTTCACTATTTGATGGTTTAGTAACTTTAGTTTGAAATTCTCTTACAATAATATTCTTTAAAAAGAAATATGCATAATCCGATAATCCATTTGGATGGTGACCTCCAACAGTCAACAGAGCTCAATGATAAGAAACAAAGTCTTGTTCCTTATTAAAAAAATTTGGGGTTCGCTTCGGTTCGGTTCATAGCTAGTCCTACAACTTTGTCAAAGGATGAAAATTGTAGCGTCTTATGTTGTAATTTCTGTTTTTATAGTTACAGCAATTAAGGTAATGATTTGTTATTGTAGGGCACTTCATGAGAAGGAACATAAAGCAAATGGCCTTACCAGGATGCAGTTTTTCCTTATTTTTATGGCTGCAAGCTTTGCCTATTACTTATTTCCGGGATATTTGTTTCCGATATTGACATTCTTCTCTTGGGTATGTTGGGCGTGGCCTCATAGTATCACTACTCAGCAAATCGGTTCGGGGTACCATGGACTTGGTGTTGGTGCCTTCACCCTTGATTGGGCTGGGATTTCGGCTTATCATGGCAGTCCATTGGTTACACCCTTTTCGTCAATTCTGAATGTTGCGATTGGTTTTGTCATGTTTATATACATAATTGTCCCTCTATGCTACTGGAAGTTCGACACTTTTGATGCCCGAAAATTCCCCATATTTTCTAATCAGCTGTTCACTTCCAGTGGGCACAAATACGATACTACTAAGATCTTGACCCCACAATATGATCTTAATATTCCGGCTTATGAGAAATATAGCAAGCTCTACCTCAGCCCGCTGTTTGCCCTCTCGATTGGGTCGGGATTCGCAAGATTTACGGCTACCCTCACACACGTGGCATTGTTTCATGGCAGGTTGGCTCCTAATGCATTATCTGTGCTATGTAAAATCTATTTTGATGTCTCCCTTAATTGAAATAATGACGATTCTTTTCCCTTTTGACCAGTGATATTTGGAAGCAAAGTAAATCTGCTGTGAAGGATGTGAGCCTCGATGTTCATGCAAAACTGATGAAACGTTACAAGGGAGTTCCTCAGTATTGGTTCCTTGTTTTATTATTAGGGAGCATTGCACTATCCCTCATGATGTCTTTTATATGGAAAGAAGACGTGCAGCTACCTTGGTGGGGTATGCTCTTTGCATTTGGTTTGGCTTGGATCGTCACCCTCCCAATTGGAGTCATTCAAGCTACTACCAACCAGGTAATAGCCCAACATCCATTTCTAGTTATTTCAACCTCTTTGATCAATGAATACTGCATCATGGCATTTTAGCAATGTCTAATTTAGTTATCTGGTTATGACTGTTGTGCAGCAACCCGGATATGACATAATTGCTCAGTTCATCATCGGGTATGTCCTTCCTGGGAAACCCATAGCAAACCTTCTTTTCAAGATATATGGACGTATCAGTACCATTCATGCCCTTTCATTCTTAGCCGACCTTAAACTCGGGCATTACATGAAAATTCCACCACGATGCATGTTCGTAGCTCAGGTTTGTACCACAAGCCTTGTCATTACTCCAAATTACGACTATCATCAGTATCCATGGTACTAAGTACGTTCTTAATTTTTTTCCAATTTCTAGCTGGTGGGAACACTAGTTTCAGGGACAGCCAACCTCGCAGTTGCATGGTGGATGTTAGGAAGCATTGAGAACATTTGTGATGTTGAGGCATTACATCCTGAGAGTCCATGGACATGTCCCAAATTCCGAGTCACCTTTGATGCTTCTGTCATTTGGGGTCTAATCGGACCTGAGCGGTTGTTTGGATCCGGGGGATTGTACAGGAACCTGGTCTGGCTTTTCCTTATCGGAGCATTCTTGCCTGTACCCGTTTGGATACTGAGCAAAATCTTCCCAGATAAGAAATGGATTCCCTTAATCAACATACCAGTTATATCTTACGGCTTTGCTGGAATGCCACCGGCTACTCCCACCAATATTGCTAGTTGGATCATTACAGGAACCATCTTCAACTACTTTGTGTTCAAATATAGGAAAACATGGTGGCAGAAATACAACTATGTTCTGTCTGCTGCATTGGATGCTGGAACAGCATTCATGGGAGTTCTACTATTTTTTGCTCTGCAAAATGAGGGCAAAAATTTGAAGTGGTGGGGATCAGAGCTAGACCATTGTCCTTTGGCATCTTGCCCAACTGCTCCAGGGATTGTGGTTGAAGGGTGCCCTGTTTTCAAGTAGCCACACAGCAAATGAAACTAGGATTCATCTTTGAACATTCGAAAACTAAATATGTACAAAGAGAAGATGTTAAAGCTGGTCATACAAAAAGTTGCTACAATTTTGAATGACCAATAGCTTTGCATTGTTGTGTATGCTTGACTATTAAATTTTAAGTGAATGTACAGGAAAATTTCCCATTTTCTGATAGGAATGTCCAACTTTTTCTTGTTAAAGGGCAAAAAAAAATCATATTTACCTATTAAATTAGAAATACTTTATGATATACTACATAATATTTATATATCATATAAAACAAAACCAAAAATACTGCTTTGTGAAAATCAATTACAGTTTCTGTAGCTTAAAATTAAATGTGAGCACATAATATGCCTTCATTAATTATCTTAGCAAAAAAAGACAGCAAATCCAAATTTCTATATATAATCAGTTGTGTTCGTGCGAAACCCGAAAGCATATAGGATCAATGACAAGTAATAAAATCGATGAATTAAGAGTTATCGTCACACAGAGAATAAATTCAATTCAAGTTTACTAACTTTTTATAAGATTTGAATTATGTAAACAAAATAGGGGGTACTTACGAAAATACCGTTAAAATTAGGAATGTTTTGAAAAATCATATGAAATGTTTTTAGAAAGTAAAAAATACTGTGTAAAGTAAAAAAGTGACGCAATGTCACTTTTTTTACTTTTTTTAAAAAAAGTGACAAAATTAAAAAAAAAGTGACACACACTCAAAAAGTGATACAAACTCAAAAAAAGTGACAAATTCAAAAAAAAAGTGACAAATACCAAAATAGCACCATTCATTTGTGCAACACCAGTAATCATATTCTTAAAATAATCAGTTCGTCTAGGACAATCCATATGCCGATTATGTTAGGAAAATATAACATTTATTTCACCTTTTTATCTTTTTTAAAAAGTGACAAAAAACTAAAAAAAGTGACAATCTAAAAAAGTGACACAATGTTACTTTTACTAAAAATTGACGTTTGTCACTAAAAAAAGGGATAGAAATCAAGAATGTGACTAACAAACACTAAAAAAAGTGACAATTAACTAAAAAAAAAAGTGACAAAAATTTTAAAAAAAGTGGCTAGCAACATTCTCTTTGGTAAGTCTATCCACACTCATCAGGCATTAGCGCATTATAGTCTTGGGCACATCATTTTTGATCCCCAAATGAGCCACAGCATCCACAGATCTCTTTTACAGCTGAGGAATCCAAATAAGCCATGGCCGCTTAATAGCTGATCAACTCATTGGAGCAGGTTTTGACCTTCAATTGCATCAAAAACGTCAATTTCACTTGTCCATTTTGTTCTTGAGTCCAATCCCGAAATTGGTCCGTTTAATTTAGGAACTGATGCAATTGATGAATGACCCATTGTTATACCAACATTAATTGATGGTTGGATGCTAGAATTGATGGGTTGAAGTCTTGTGGAGTCTTCAAATGACTGGGAATAGACGGAACCAGTGCATGAGCTGCCTTGCTTGATTCATCCATGTTGGTTCGAAATTGGATATTACCCATGGGTTCATTGGATGAGCCATGATGAGGCTGTGGTGGGGGTGGTGATCCGCTACCATGGGTTGCATCGACGGCGTCAAAAATAATGATCGAAGGGTCCGAGTTCGTTGTGGAGAAAAAATTCTGCAAATCTGAATTTACAGTTTTGTTTGTTGTTATGAAGACATCTGTAGGTGCACCATGAAGAGGTTGATCGACCCGTAGGGTAGATATGACATGGGTGTTGCCGAAAGTCAAGTTTTCAACCAGATTTTGGTACTTGTTAAGCCGATTTTGGCTCAAATTTTCGGCTGATTCTGGTAAGTTTGAAGCAAGATGTTGGGTGAAAATTGTAGAGGGTGATGAGAGCTTTCCAACGGTATGGTGATTCGGTGGTTTGGGTGGCGGTCGGCGGAGTTTTTGGGGTTCGAAAGAGGCGGCTCCATTTCATGTGGCACTGAGAATTTTTGTTTTGGTTTAGAACATAATTAATACGGTTTTATATGATGTTTAATTAATTAAGAGTATTAATCTAATTAGGTTACTTTTTAGAGTATGAGGCCTAATTTTCCCAACAAAATAGAGTTTGATTTTATTTTATGTTAAATTAATCTAAGAAAGTTGTAAAAATGTGATTTTTATCAATTTATGGATGATTGTATTGGATCTTAAATCCGTCTATTGCTATCTATTTCAATTCTTGATTTGTAATCTACTTTTATTCATGCGTTCTCGACAGTCGATAAAACTATGATATATAATTTTCTTTTCTAGGACAAATTAAATTTATCTTAAGCACGACCCGAATATATTCATAACCCGAATTCGAATAATTAGAATGCATTAAAATTTAGATTATCAATATGATTATATATATGATAAATATTATTCATAACATCTATTGTACATATGCTAATTTTGCCGCGTTTTAAACTTATTTTAAGTTTTCCAATACTACAATATTATTTAATTGGTGACCAGTCATTTAAATAATGCAATGAGTATGCAAAATTAATCAAAACAATGCAAGAAATACTAAGCTGCTAATCTTAAATTAAAACAAATAACAAATATGCCTCATCTTCATCCAATACAAAATATGATTTAGCCTAATATATTAATTACAAGAAAAAGAACAGAAAAATATCGTCCAAATTATGATAGAATGAAAAAGATATTGATCTTCAATTCCAAGGTTGAATTCTTCAAAATCTCGATATAATTGGTCTTCAATTCCTTGCTAGGGCTTGATCTCCTCTTCCAAAATATAGCAATTGGCCCATTGTTCTTAATTAATTTGATGATACTATTGTGTATGAAAATGCAAGAGATGATTTTTTTTTTTCATGTGTTAACAACCTTTGTTCTGTATTTATAAAAGTCAGAAAATATTCAAAATCGTATTCAAATTGAATTCCAAAAGAGTTTGAATAGCGAGAGGATACTGCTGATTCATCTGCAAAAATAGCTAGCGTGAGCACGGCATAACTACCACGTGCGTGCTTTGGTTTGCGTTGCTTCATCCCTGAGCATTTTTAGATATTTTGGTCATAACTTTCTTTCTTAATATTCATTGAGATAATTCAAAATGCGTTGGAAATATAATTCAAAGGGATACAATTCTTCTAAAAATACAATTTTTCCAATTCGAACGTTTGCTATCGAAAAAATGGATCTCAAATTGTGTCTAAACATTCAGAGCATAACTTTTTCGACTGGAAATTGATTTGTAAAAATATTTCAACTATATTTCACTCATTTGACCTTCAATTGCATTGAATTGACCCTATATGATCTTCAACCTTCGTTTGTGGTCCGAATCAACTATTGAATGTTTACAATTTGATCCCCAAACTTTGCATTTATTTCTTTTTGCCCTTTTTTTTTTTTTGTTTCTTTCTTCCAATTCCACCAATTTGTATTGAATTTAACCTACCAAACGTAATTAACACAAAATTAAGCTATAACTTATCTAAATCACTAACAAATACTCCAATTTAATAAAAATACACTTATCAAGTTGCTACAACACAGTGGGAGGAGGATTAGTTGCAAGTTTTCATCTGCATGGACAATTGAATACAATTCCAACAATATTCATGTCGATTGTGTTATCATCTGGGATTTTGGTATCTTGTTTATAGGTATTCTGTAATTTTTCATTTTGTGATGCAATGCCAATGTCGAGTAATTGCTGATTATCTATATTGTACTGGATTGATTGATTTTGTCAGAATGTTAAGAAATCTGATCTAGTTGTGTAAACAATGTTAATCTTTATTTCTTTGTTTTGTTTTTTGATTTTGGTTGTTGACTTCACGAATATGTTGGATGAAACTGTACTCAGAAATTGTTTGAGGAGTAACGTGTTTGAGGATTAGGCATCATATTATGTTTGGACTGGGGGTGAAATTTTTGGATTATAAAAGCTCCAAGAGTGAGATCTTCAATTTGGAAAGTCAGAATAAACGTCCACACTTCACTTTGATTACCAGAAGCCTTTGAGACATAAGTGCTACACTCATGTCTATTTTGACTTTAATGGTATTGCGAATGCATTTAATTGCTATGCTTTTAGATATCAGCAAACTGAATGTTAAGATTTGAGATTTTATCTTAAAATGTTAACTTTATTAAGAGAAGCAAACAAAACTCTTATAAATTAATCTATATTTTCATCTTTATTTGATGTGAGATTTTATCCCTTAACATGCTCTCGCAAGATGGTGACTCATTTAAGCAGACAAATCTTAAAATCTGTATGCTCATTTTTTTTAGTTTTAATCGGATCGAATTACTTATTGGAGATTAATGAGCTTTGATACCATATTAAGATTTGGAGATCCATTTTAAAAAGCCAATCTTATTAAGAGAAGTAGCACAAACTTTTATAAATTGATATATATTTTCATCTTTATTCGATATGGAATTTTATCCCTTGAATCCTTGAAAGAACTTTGCTATTGGGCCAGGCTCAAATCCAGGCCCAAGAACAGGGCGCCTTGGAGGGGGGGGGGCAGCTTTTTCTGGCCAAGAATATTTGCCCTCCTTGAAAGCTGTCAAAAACTTTTCTTTTAAGTAATTAATACAAGCCTACAGCGTCTGCAACACATCAGCATGTTTTTGTATGGACACTCACCTAATTACGTTGTTCTTAAATTCCTTCATATGCATTGGATTTCACGATCCTTCAAACAACAAAATGAATAGAAGGTCAAATGAGCTAATCTAACAGATCTGAAGCATCCAGCAAGTGCACCTTATTAAGAAAATAGTTATTAACATATCATATATCATGACCAGCTGAGAGGGAAGTTGAAAACGTTATTTTTGAACAAATAAAAGGGATGTCACTGGTCATTGCATCATCCTCAATTATCCAGTAAAATAGTAGTAAATATTAGAAAGGATATTGAGCTTAACTCAACCTAAAAAAATTGACTTGTTAGAGGAGGATTGTCATCACATTATTAAGTGAATC